CAAACAGCTATGGTTAAAAGCTACATACCTATATATTGTAAATTACATTTAGACATTTCACTATGTTTAATACCAGATAACAATTATAATATTAATGGACGATAACATTTAAAATTTGTTTGATGTAATTTGAAAATTAGCACCTGGCCAAATAAAGGGCCATGTAAAAAAGCTTGCGGGTTGCCAGTTGCTTATCCTGACATATTATTTTATATTATAATATGAAATAAAATATTAGATAAATAAATAATTATAAAATAAATTTGTTTTGTTAAGGGAGGCCTGGGTAATAAATTTTATTCTGTATTATCCCGGGCAAACCCTGAGCTTATGCATTACTTGCAACTTTGGTTTAATCTGTTATATAAGTATGTATAGGTGATCGACCAGTATTGAACTTTCATAGCGAACAAAAAGTAGCTAAACTTTGTATTATACGATTCTCAGTTACCATTTTTTACTTTTTATTATCGTAATGACATTGTATTTATAACAGCACAATGCGTCATTTTCAAAAGTAATTGAGAATGACTTTTTCATGAGTTCGGGAAAGAAATGTCCGATTCTTCAAAACATTTACACTTCTATCCCACTACTTGAGATTTGTAGCTACAACTATTACAGTTCTTTGTTTATTAACTACGATCAATAAATTGGTGCCTTGGGAATCAATGTCCAGAGTAATAATAATAATAGTAATAATGATTTTTAAATTTTAATTCAACAATAAAATACTTGACATAATACTAAATATCAGAGCTTTGCACCCGAATTAACCCGAACCCGTAACACCCCTAAAAACCCTTAAAAAAACCAAACACCCAAAACCCATATAACCCGAATGATTTTTTTTTTAAACACCCAAATTAACCAAAACCCAAATAAAATATTGGTTTTAACCCGAAACCCGAATAATTTTTTATATTTTATTACTTAAATAACAAATTATATTAGTACCATAATAAGGTAACGAATATTTGAATCCTCCAACAGAGAACTAGAATATTGTATATCATTTAAAAATTGATAAATTATAAAAAAAACCAAATAATATCATATAAAATCCAGATAATTGTGAAAAACAAATATAAAACCTTTTTTTCTATTATTAATAATAAATCAAAATATAAAATTATTTAAGCAATATAGATAATTCATAGTGAAATAAATGGATACCTTTTTAAAATAGATAAATCAAAACAAACAATTTAATATTATATAAACAATCCAGATAATTCAGGAAAAAACAAATCTATACCCTTTTCATATTAATAATAAAAAAACTATATAAAATTATATAAGCAACATAGATAACTCTTAATAAAATAAATGTATACCCTTTTGAAATAGATAAATAATTATAAAACTAAGGATATCAAGCAGGAAATATTCAATTTCATCATCATTTATAATATTCATCTACAAAATATGTTGACAAATATAAAATACCAATATAATATGATACTAATTACTAATACATCAAAACTGTACAGTGGACGATGGTAACTATAAAAACCACATTTACAACTATCTAATAATGGACATAATTAAAGTTATTTTCTTACCGTTATCGTGTAAATATTTTTAATAACAATTACTTATTGAATATTTTATAAAATAATTAGAATTTTATTTCTTAGTTTTGATTTTTAATCAATATATCTTTACTAAAACATTTATAACGTATGTCAGAATATTGAAAATAATAGAAAACAAGAGTGAAATGATATTAGACCAGCGGCAGTGATATTATTTGATATATTTATAAACTGATAAAAAGGTGGTTGGTAGCTGACTACCATCAAAAAAAATATTAAAAATAATTTAATAAGTAGATAAAATAGTAACTATCACACTTGAAAGGTAAAAAAAAAGTGGTTAGCATAATAACTACTGCCCTCAAAGAGTTAAGGAAATGTCTTAAAATGCTAGCTTACGTGCGAAAATTACAATAAGTGATGTAAAAATATTTATTCTTTGTGACGCTTTGTATGGCATTAATTTCGAAAAACAAAAACAAAAAAAAACTTTTAAATACACCTGTTAATATTGCATTAATATATACGACAGTCGTAAGTCTGTTAAAAAGTGAAAAAAAGTTTTAATTAATTTTAGTGTATAGATAAGTGTACACAAAAAACGAGTTACCGCAAATGTGACCAATGAGGTTATAAACGCAAATGTGCTGACTGCATAGGTAACACCCAGTTTACACATGATTTTATTTTCAGTGTTTTATATTTTAAACTGGAAATTAAAACTAGTCCATTGTGTTTTATGAAATTCATTACATTCTATTAATTGAATGCATTACTATGAAGGAAGTAAACATAGTGAATACCAACAGAACTATTATAGTCAAACAGCGTTAATAAAATTCTGGATTGATAAAAGCTTATAATTAGAAGACAGTTTCTATCACGACAAATATATAAGATTATAACTATATAACTTTAAATAATTCATTGTTGAAGTCGGTTGATGTAATAATTGTATTCAAGTCACATAACTCATACAGTTTTTGTATACTCATAAAAGATATATTTCGTAAATATTATAGTCCCTCCACAACAGTCACTATTTTTATTTTATAGTCATCATATTTTTTATGGTCATTTTCTTAAGAAGAACAAAATGAAAATTAAACAATTTTAAATAGGAATAATATTTGTATAATAAATTAGTAACTATTATGGTATTTCTTGTTCGTCATGAGTAGGGCTGGGATTTTAATGCTCTAAAAAATAGCGAAAAATACTCTAAAAAAATGTATAAATGTTTTATAAATTATAAAAATGTAATATATGCGTTAAAAATGTATTTATTATAGTTTAAAAACGATATTATCAAAATCATGTTAATAAACATATTCAATTATATTTATTTAACATAATTTGTTTAATATTTACATTTTATTTAACTTTATTTAAATTTGATCGTCGATGGACTCTTGCAAATAAAAAAATTGCTTTCGATTATTTTAATTTTGTTCTATTTTTGATAAAATATGTATATGAGCTGATATGGTCGTATATAAGTTTATCAATTTAGTAGGTTACATACTAAACGTGCAAGTTTTAAGCGAACAAACACCGAAATGCGAGATCAAATACCCTAATATTTAAGAATTAATATATAAATTCTGAAAAATGCTTTAAAAACTTAAAAACTGCCATAAAAACAACAAAATGTACCCTAAAAATGCCCTAAATATGCACCTACAATTAAATTTGTCATAAAATAAAAGAAAACACAAAATAAAAACTACATTAATCAGTATCACTTGAAACACATTTTTTGCTCACGGACCAACGTGTTAGGATATTAAAAAAAAAAGATGCATTTGCATCAAAATCCTAGTCTTAGTCATGAGCTTAATTTATATTTGCTTTAAAAATACAAATAATATTTGTTAATAAGTGTAATAGATTTTATCTATAAAATTGTAAATAACTTATATTGTCCCAAGCTAATATTATATGCAATTACTCAATTATAAAATTGAAGTGTTATTGATTAAAAACTTTTTTCGTGAGCATTTTAATGGTACATAGATATTCAAATTAATATTTTTTTTTAAACCGCCTAACGGATTTTTTATTATTACAATAAATGACCTTCAACAATACATTTCAGAGGTATACATAAATATTAAATACTAATGAATAATATTTGATGAATATAAAAATAAAACAAAAAAAACATGTTTGGGTTATGACTCCCAATGGAGAGGCCTGGCCCTAGTCTAACATTTTATACTAAGTTGTATGGCTTTTGGGATTTGAGACGCCTTATGTCTTGAAAGTTAACAAGTAATTGAATCTCTGCTGGATTAATGCATTAATCTAGCCTTATTTCGTGTTTTCGGGAAAAATTTATAATCTCTTTCTGGACGGATCTCGGCGGATAATGATTTTTCTGTCATACCGGTATGCTGCGATAATAGTACGGAGAGCAAAGGTTCTTTTTCGTATATAGAAATATTAAAAATATGCTAAATAGCTTCGTTATTACTGATTTATGTTCCCATCTGGTATCATGATATTTCGCCATTTTTATTTATATTTTGTACTTCAAACATAGCCAAATCATTGCCTTTAGTATTGTATTTGCAAATATACTCAATGTATTTTACAGAACTACAAACCTTCAAATTAACATGAGCTTTATACGTTTTCGAAAGCAATAGTGAGTGTGGTACTATCCACTGATTATCAATTTCAAGTTGATTTATAGAATATACAATTTCAGAATGCGTAGAGTTATTAATAACCGGTGGATATTCAAATACAAGACGAACAAATTATGCACGTGTTAATATGTAGCTGGTTCACATTTTCACTCGATTTCGTGCTCCAAATGTGCTGTTCACGGCTACTCTTGTTCTCGATATTATAATATTCAACCTGAGTAGCAATTTTTGTACTCACACCGTTAATAAATCATTAGTCAAAAGTTCAAAATCCTGTTTAGAGCAGTGTTTTTGATTTTGCGTACGTTTTGACTCATATTTGTGCACGACTCTTTTTTTTTCTTATACTTTGAGCTGTGTTTCTTGTTGTGACTTGATTAGCCAATTGAAAATTTCTTTGAATACGTTTGCGTTATGCCTCACAAGTATTCTCATTAGAAAAGTTAGATTTTTTTGGTGAAATTAAAATAAAATTCATAACATTTCATACCGTTCGTATGAATATTTACAAGTATAATGAAAAAATACACAATATCAATATAAATGGTTTGTAAAAATTAACTTTTTTCAGGTATTAATATTTTATTTTTGTAATATAATAATATAAATATTAGTAAACTAGAATACAAGTAATGCTAAATATAGATTATAAATTTGATATAAGTTTTATGAAAAAAAAAAAATATGTTAAATTTTTCCCATGCTTAACAATTAAAATACATTATTTAGGATTTAATGTAGTACATTATGTTAAATTTCTTTTTGTACTTAAAATTATTTCTAATTCTGTTGATGGATTTTATTTCAGTGTTTGTGTACTTCGGCTTTAGAATTTGGCGACAAAATCGACTATTTTGAGTGAATATTAATCTTAATTGAATAACAATCAACCACAGTATGGATTACATAAGGGAGTTTGACATAAGATTAGACAAGGAAATGTTTTACGCAGGAGAGATTTTGGAAGGTCACGTGCTATTAGACACAATTGAAAACTTCAAATTGAAAAGTAAGTTTACCGAAAGTATAAAATAAAAAAAAACAACAATTTTAATAAAAGTAATGTATTCAATGTTGTGCAGAAGTTATTAACTAACTAATGCGTAGAAAACTACAAGTAAAATAAGGTTTTGGAAACCAATAGTGAATACATTTATTATACCAATTTAAAATTAGTACAGATTTTGTGTGTTGATTTTGATACCCTAACATTACGTAACCTATGGATTTAAATTGCTTTTTTTTTATAGTACTGAAAAATATACTTAATTTTTCTAATCATATTGTTTTAACTAATACTTAGTTAATTTGAAGAATGTTATCTTATGTATAATATAAAAAATAAATATATTAGGTACTTGTGGTGTACTTGAGGGATAAGAAAATAAATGGCTCATTGATATCGTTCAAATATTTTGAAGTTTAATTTTTATAATGTGTTTTCTTAAAGATTCTTACAATAATTTTTTTTTAAAAAGTAATCCTACAACTTTCTGTCATTCATTTTGAACCAAATAATTATATTTTTAGATCAATTTTGTTATTTTAGTAATTTTTTTTTTTTTTTTTTTTGCAAATGATCAAATATTTTATGTTATCATATAACGTTACATTAAATGTTATAAATATATGAAAATGTTTTTCCCTAGAACACTAACCTTATTTTTAGTCCGTGATTACTAACCATTCATCAAATCGACGAATATAATATAAATGCACATAAATATTATGTTCAAATTACAGTATTTATTTTTCAGTTTATACTATAATCTTTATTCAAATACTTTTTAAAATAACAATATACTTAGTAACATCAAATTGAAAAAAAAATTGTAAACTTAAAATAAAATTTTATGTTTTGAAACTGTAATTAAAAATACATATTATTAAGTAAATATTAATCATTATAACAATGTGGACATTTTATAATTTGGTGTTCGCCGCATATGTGTTTTTGACATGTAGAACATTGTGATTTAGTCATTCGCCTTTTTTTGTAGTCGCAGAAGCTACAAACTTTTCTTTTTTTACTTGACAGTTCTTCTTCAGTCGGTCGATCTTGTGTTTGTGTTACGTTTTTTATTCCCAAGCAATCTTCAATATTTTTTTTCAAATTATGGGGTAGCTTACTATTCGAAAGCCTTGATCTCATGCAATCCTCAACCAACTGCTCTTGTAAGCGTATCATAAATTGGAAGCGTGATAAAGGTTTTATAGTGTCTTTCCTGTTTTTGTAAAAATTGTGTACGTATATAACATAAGCATTTATTGATGCTATATTTATCATATTATAAAAAATGTACAATGGCCATCGTTTAGTTTTTCTACCGGCATTCATGTTATGATACATTTGGTCAAAACTATCCACGCCACCTTTAGTTTCATTATAGTGCATTACAATTGTTAGCTTTTTAGTAGTTTCATTTATAGAGTCATCACTATGCAGGGAAGACACTAATGTAACGAGTTTAGTTGGTTTTGTTTTGTAAGAGACAGCAGTCAAATTGTTTGAAAATAAAAATAGCGATGTATTTACTGCTCGATTAGAATATTTTAAGTCAGTAAATTCAACAGGGAATTCTCTCTTATTATTTTTTGATCGTACCAATTACTGTAAGTTTATAATCTTTTAGTAGTTTTTGTGTAAGAGGAATATTTGTGAACCAATTGTCCATTGTAATATTGCGGTTTGATCATTTTACTGACGATATTAACTGTTCAACAAAATAATTTGATGCAGACACGTTACTTGGGACAGTTCCTTTCCCGCAATATGGAATTTCACTTATCATATATTTTGTTGAATTGTCACACATCATAATTATTTTTATTCCATATTTATTTGGTTTTGACGGAATATACATTTTAAACGGTCAACGACCTCGAAAACCAACTAACTGTTCGTCTATTGTTAGGTATAATCCTGGTTTGTACCACTTTTGACAGTTCTTCATGAGAATGTCCCAAGTTTCAGAAATTGGTGCAAATTTGGTAATAGTTTTTCTTTTGTCCCGAGTATTTTTTAAATCAAATCGTAAACAATTAATTATAAAATTAAACCTTGCAAGTGACATAGTAGAGCGATACCTATAACCACAAAGTGAGTGGTCAAATAGATTGACTGCATTTAAATGGTTATTTTTCATTGCCGCGGAAGCTATTAAAATACCTAAAAGGCCTTTAAATTCATTTAAGTTAATATTTTGAAATGTACTTTTATTTTGTACGTTTTGCGCATATTTTTGTTTTTGGAGAACAATTTCTTCATTAGTATGACTTATTATTTTCGCAAACAAATCAGAAGAAAAAAATAATAAAAAGCACTCTACGGGTTCGTTTGAAAATAAAGCATTTCCTAATGGTCCTGGTGTAATATGTACAATATTTTTTGAACTGATTTTAGAAGTAGAAGGAATCAAATTACATTTACTTTGCCATTTAAATCCATTCTTTCCAACTACGTTGTCATTTTCAAAAAAAATTCTGGAGCTTATTGGTAACTCTGTTTCACAGGTGTTAGCAGGAGGGTTTTTTCTTTTCTTACCCTTGTTTTTCACAGGTTTTTTTTTACTAGCTTCATTTTGAATATTTATGATGTTCTCAATCATATCTTCATCTTGAATTGCAGGTGGATAATATTCTGGATCCGCATCGCTATCTTCCTCCTCAAAATCTTCAATAATGTTGTCCTCAATTTCACTGTCATCTGAATTAATTTCTACAAGTAAACGCATTACTTCGTCATCATCCAGTTCACATGCCATTTTTAAACTAAAAAACGCATAGTTATACGCTTCAGATAAATAATGTACTAAATTTTTAAAACTTGAAACTTACCCTTTATTTATAACTATACGTCAAATCGATGAACCAAAAACAGCGTGTATCACTAACTAGTAGTCGAATCGACGAACAAACATTTACGTTTATTACTAACTAGTAGTCGATTCGACGATGTGTGTCTTACGCAATCGAAGGTTGCTTTTCAACTGATAAAAATAGGAAATCATATTTTATCATAAAATAATGTCAACAACATTCTTGAGAGATACGTGTGTCATAACAATGGGCACTATTAATAAACTAGAAATTATGGGAATTAAATTAACCTTGCTCGTCGAATCGACGAATAGTTAGTATTCTAGGGTATATATATTTTTCTTAGTATAATAGGTCATATATATTATTCCCCCTCTCGTACTATTTTATACTGTCACGTCCTTTTATTATAATAATATTTATTTATGTTTAATATACATATATATCTCTTCTTTTCTTTTATTTAAGCCTATGTTTGGTTTCGCAGTCGGATACACGCTCGGGAGAGTAGCTTGACGATCGAACATCGGAGATCATTTGCTCGACAAATAAAGTTCTTATACGTCCTTGAGTAAGAGAGATTCTTACCTCAAATTTTTCTTTCATTTATTCTATAAAGTAGTTCATTTTTATGTCTCAACATGAGACCAATCACGTTCCATCGTCTTTGATGGTTTTAAGTTCATTCTTTGCATTAATTTATTTCACTAATTATGCTTTTGTTGGTTCCATCCAACTTATAAGCAGCATTATTTTATACTACCACATTTCAAAGCTTTCAAGGATTCATTGTTGTACCTTATCTAGTATCTAGGTTTCGCAGCCGTATAGCATCACATTCCATACATATAATTTTATGAAGCATTTACTCACCCGAATACTTATATTATTGGAGCATAACCTTTTTTGCTTGTTCATGAAAGCTGACTTTGTCTGTACAATTCTGGATCTCATTTCCATGATGCAGCCATCTTGGTTAAATAAGCTGCCTTAGTATTTAAAATTTTCCACTTTTTCAAGCAGCCGATTTCCTGCTTGTACATCAGTGGCGTATTTGATGGGAGCGATGGGGGCAATCGCCCCCCTCCCCCCGAGAATTTTTAGACCAAGACAATTTTTATATAAGTAATAGGTATTTTATTAAGAAACAAAAATTATGATTTATTTTATAGTATTACTACATTTGAAAACGTTTCAAATTTTACACTAATTTAAATAACGCAAAACGCTAAATTTTTATAATGTTTTAATTATCAATAACGGTAAACGGAAAGTTTTTTAAACGTTTAAATTTGTATAACATTTAAACGCTTAAATTGAATAACGTTTAAATTATTAATAACGTTAAACGCTCAATTGCTTATAACGTTTATATGTCCCATAACCATAAATAATATATATTATTTTGATTGAAGACCTAACCTAACCCAGTCCATACTTAGTGAAAAATTAGATAAAATACAAGCGGAACTTTCAAAACACAGATAGGTGTTAAAAAATAACTACACAAAAGACAAAAGACCATTCTAAGTAGACCGGCATTAGATTAAAAAAAAAAAAAAAAGCACAAATATTAAGGATTCACCTGATATAAATATTACCAAAAATTTTGAGCCGGAATTAAGGAAAAAATTAGAGTCGCCCCCTCCTTAGAAGTAAGTCTAAATACGCCCCTGTTGTACATTAATTCTATAGATTCAGTCTAAATTTTGGCAATTTAAATCATGCCTTAATTGTTGATTATTTGATAATTATGATAATATAAAAATCAAAAAAAGTTTTATTTTTAATATTTATTTGTAAGGCAAAAAATATTATTATTATTTAAAAATATTAAAACAAATTATATTATATTACTTATATTCACTTTCTTAAATTATAAATTTATTATTATTAAGCAGATAATAATTAATGAGAGGGTTGGCACTGCTTAGTTCCAATTAATTACGACTTAAAAATGTCACGATTAAATATAAATAATCAAAAATAACATTTTCATATTTCATTGCTTTTTAAAAATTTTCTTGCCTCCCTAGAGGAACGCGCCCACTAGGTTGAGAACCACTGATATAGATGATAATCAAAATTATATTGTATCACAAAAACATATATACTAATAGGTTATAGTTATACTAACTAGGAGCGTATCCAAGAATTTTTTATGGGGGGGGGGGGCCCAAAATTTTTATTTTATCTGTTCTATAATTATAGTTTAACTCAATACCAACAAATTAATATTAATATACTTTAGTATGGATTATACATTATGGGTAGGTATATTATATTATCTATAAACTTTGTATATTGAAGATAATGGGAAATTAAAATACACTATATACTATTATTATACTATTTACTATTAAACCGTTGAGTATGTAGAAATTTCAATGGGAAGCCGGAGCTGAACCTCCCCCCCTTGGATACGCCCTTGATACTAATAGATTATAAACTTCCAAATTAATTCATAAAATGAATATGGTAATTTTACGAGTAGTATTCTAGCGGTCGAAATAAATGTGTCAAAAATGTATGTTCAACAATATTATTATAAAAAATGTTTACTAAATAATAAATTAGCAATTAAAATGAATACTATTTGTTCTATAGTTTAAGTTATGACTATGGTAGGCGTGTATTTGAATTTAAATCGAATTAGTATAATATCATAAATCATTGCATTCGGAAGCCAATTCCGAATAGGGTTTTGTCACACTTCGTTGAATATATATAATATTGCTTTATTTAAATTTTATATTTTCGATTCCTTCCTTATACTTAGGGAAACTTCTGACAGAGTAGAAAATCGAATAACGGATTTCTAAAAACCGTCCGTGGTTATTTTATTTTCCTACCAAAAATATGTCATTTGAAGTTGTTTGTGTATATTTTATTATCCGAAGAAATATTCACACAAAATAAATCAAAATAAATTGTAAAAAACTAATAAAACACTCGTTTCCCTTAATATCACAAATAACAATAGTTAATTATTCATAGCTATAATTATATTGTGTGTAAATTAGATTTTATCTTCAATAATGTACTAAGTAATATTCCAACATTTAACTTAAGAAATTATGTACCATTTTTTATAAGTCATTACACACAAAACTACGGTTATTGCGAATCTATTAATAGAATGTTAATTAATTGTTATAAATTAAAAATCATTAATTTCTTCTTTAATAATATGTAAATTAAAAAAATTACTATTATTATAAATTTATATAATTGTAAATTTTAATGTTTTTAGTATAATTCTGTACTATTACCTTTCGGGGTAAAAATAAATAAATAAAAAATTAATTAAATATTATATTTTTATCTTTACATTCTTAATAAATAAAAATCAATAAATATTTTTCCAGTTCGAAAATTATATTTAAAATATATAATTTCCAAACAAGTATTAGTAATTAATGATAATTTGACTGGAAGGAGTAAAGCATTTCTCGGGTTATAATAAATTAATTTTTTTGTAATAAATATATTACATAATCAGTAGACACGCTGTACTAAAATTAACAAAAGAAATGAATCTATCGATTTTCCATTTTTCCATCTTGTTTGTTTGTCTTATCGATCGTTTTCTTTGTTATTGTGAGTTTGTTTAGGAAAAACATTACAAAGTTTCATAATTCGTGTGTATTTATTTTCTATTCGACCGCATAAATACCGTTAATGGTGTGTAATTCATTATAATATAGGCAAACAAATAAAATAAAAAGTTATCCAATAGTTGTATGACCTACCAAAACTGCTAAATTTTATGTTTTACAACTCATTTCGATGTACAATATTTCATTAAACCCAGCTAATTTTAAAATAATTCGCTTTGTGACATCGAAATAAAAAAATGTTAACAAGAAAACCACTATAGTTTGAGACGTATTCTACAGACTCTATATAAATATATTGTATAATAGTCAATATAGCAGTGTATTTGTATTACTCATTTCATGATCGTCCATAGATACATCTACACTTCCTGGAAAACAAAATAAATTGCACATACATTTTACACAAACCATTTATTAAATTATTATCGTTATTGATCGTATATAGTTTAAAGAACACTGCAATGTTTTGAATATCATATAAATGTCATAATCTTACAGGAAAGTTTTTATATATGTATTTATACACATAAACCATATAAACTTTTGGTTCATAAAATGTTTGTTTTAATTAAGTTTAGGTTGTTGATGATTTCATTTTTAATACTTTTATTTATTTATCTTTTAAAGTTGGATGCTGATAAATTTTTTCTTTTTCGATATTATTAATTATTAGTGTAATAATTTATCTCATGAAATCAAGTTTACAAGATCATTTTTAATGCGCTTGAGGCTTAGAAGAATAAGAACATTTTGGAAAAATTATTGTAACCGGAATAGTCATGAAAATTATGCACAACGTTAAAACGTCATGAAATCGAGATGGCGAGTCATTTTAGACGAAAAAAACTGTCGATTTTTTATTATTATTATGTAACGTAGTTATCGTAACGAAAACAATTTCTCAACATACACAACTCGACTTGTAATATTTGACCTTATCTTATTCGAGTATTTCATGTGTAAATCACCGGGTGCTTTAGCTACAATTTGTTCATACATTGTACAGTGAGATGTGTATTGATTTAAAATAATAAATAATAATAATAATAAAAAAATTAAATTCATCGTTTATTGTTCTGGGACTTGTGAATATTTCGACGAGTTGAGATAATCCTGATTTCTAAGCGATGGATATTACACTTTAAGTATTATTAAAAGTCATAATGAAATCACTAAATTAAACTGTGATTTTATCGCTTTGGCTTTGTGGTGGTTACCGTTAGTTCGTAGAAATAATACATTTATTGAACTGCAGAGGTACGATAACAGCTTGTGCGTATCGAAACGCAATTAAGCCGTACTGAGATAAACATAACAATGTTAGTCTTGCGAGAGGCTGAATACAACCGTACCACTCGTCGGGTGTATATATCAAGTCATGGAATTGTGTGTAATCGATGTGGTGAATGACCGTCGTAAATTCGATCTTCGTCGACCACAGTCCTGTCTAACCACGGTGTTGGAATACATATTGTTAATATTTTCTACGGTTTTATGAGCTATCCTTATCGTTTCTGTCTAGATACGTATCAGTAGATATAATATACAAATGTCATCGTTTGAAAAACTGACATAACATATTGTTAACACTTACACAATATGCATGCAAATATTTATTGATATGGACGGCTGCATCACGATTGCGCAATTTTTCCTTTTTTGACCCGACTAATTACTCCACAA